ATGAAATCGAATGTTAGTTTCGCGTTTTATGAGCTTCGTGGATACTCAAAATTTTGAACCTTTGTCGGAGAAGTACCAGTAGGAGTGGACCGATACATCTTCAGCAGATCATGTATTAGTAGAAATAATGGGATTTGTGAAATATGAAGATAACCGGATTCTTATTTTAGATTTTATACTCGTTTTGGTTATTCAAAATTTTGACCCTTTGTTCCGGAAGAAATGATCCGATTTCTACCTTCATTATAACATAACCTTGTGTTGATAGAAGTATTGAGATGTGCCAAGTCTGAATGGAATCGGATGTGAATTTCGATGTGAATTAGCGCCATGCACATTAAAAAAATTTTAACCCTTTGTGGGGGAGGTACCAGAAGGAGTGAACCGATATATCCCATCTTCACACCAGACTATGGGTTAATAAAAATATTGTGATGCGTGTAATTTGAAGACAACCAGAGACTTACGTCATATTTTATAAGAGTTAGAATTATTGAAGAAAGGGGCCTTTGTGGGAGAGGTGCTTAACCTAGCACTAATGCAAATAGTAGTATTTTCAAAGTTTTTAGCTAAATCGGTTTATCACTTCTCTTTCTGCGCAGTAATATATATATATATATATATATATTTTTTTTTTTTTTTTTTTTTTTTTTTAATTGCGACCTTTTGGGGGGGGGGGGTAGGTTCCAGAAGGAGTGGACCTATATTGCCCATCTACGAACTCGATCTAAGTTTGGCAATAATATTACGATGTACCAAGTTTGGACCAAATCGGATACCGAACCAGCCAGGCAGAGAGACAAGGACTAAGCAGATGGGGCTGGAGGTGGAAATTCTCTGTTCTCTACTTACAACAAGAATTCCAAATTCCTCTGAAAAATGTTGAAAAATATCTTTTTGCCACTTTTACCATATTTGAGAGCACCCTTTCCACCCAAATATTTTCGATTCTTCAATAATTTAATCTTTATTTCTCTATTGTGATATCAATACTTTAACACTTCAGTGGCTCTCATAAGTTTGGACAGACCTGCATCACCTTAATTTGTTGATAATTTTCCATTATTACCTGGAAATTCCTTTAGTTTCTGTCGCGCTTCTGTCTGGCTGTGTGGTTTGCAAGAAATGCAACGTTTCCGTGTAAAAGTCTATGAAAATACACACGCCACGCTATGTGAGTGTTTGTCAGCTTGTAGCTGATATGTTTAATAGGTATTCACGGCACTGCTCAAGTATCGTGTTATACTCTGCAGCGATACACACTCACATACATTCATACATGCATACCTCGCATAAAATTGCTTAATTGAAAGTTTGGACAATTTCTACTACTACTACGACGACGACGTCTCTGTATCGACATGGGTTTCGTCAAAGTATCGCATTTCTGTTATGTCTGCCAAGCAAAATTTCAAATTTTCAAATTGAGTAAATTGTTGCTGTTTTTTGGGTAATTCATTCATTAACACGCACACACACTCGCACGAGCGTAGTCGCCAAAAAAGTGGTGTTCATAGAAAACTTGAAGATTATTTTCGTATGAAAAACACACACACAAGCGACTGTCTCACCAGTCCACCTACCTTGGTGTCGGCGAGGGATGAATGCACCCAGAATAATGTGACAGACAAAAAAGATATCCCATTACCCCTGTCGCACAGACGATGATAATGGTTAGCTGCAGCAACGACAAGAACAAAAAGTCAAGACGTCTAATAGTGCGGTGCCAGAGATGACGATGATGCTGATTATGGCTAGGTGAAGCGTTTGGTGGTATTGATGGAAATTGGAAGCCATAAACGCTGATAAAAATGCCAGGAATTGTTTTAATGATTCATGCAAAATCATTGAGCTTGACTTGTGGCACGAAGCAAAAGTCGGTGGACAGCTACGAATGCTTCTGAACAGGAACAGGACAGACACATGCTAGGCATCTCAGAAATCGAAATAATGAAAGGATAAACTGATGTTTCAAAGCTCAAGACAGCCAATATTTTATAAGATTCTCAAAGTAAACCGCCGATTCAAAGAAAGTCAATGCAAAAGTTTGGTGGTGCAGATGTCATGAAGAAGCGGGGTCAGGGAGTGGGTATTTTTTTTATCAAGTCTTTATTAGCATTCCGCTAAAACTGCAAATTGATATTACAAATTTCAGAGTTCTGAACAAAAGACTGGCTAAAGTTAAAGTATGCCCTTTTACAGCAGCTTTTCCAGTCTCTTGAGTAAAGTTATCTTCAAGAAAATTCAATTATTGATAAACATAAGCGCCCCCGAAAGCTCTTGCCCATCGTTCATGCATTGGAGCTTTGTCACATGAAAGAAAAGCTTTAAAAACTTCTTTGTACGACCATCAAAAAAACATCCCGCCTTGTTGTCAGTGTCATCGTGGTAACTGTAAATATTTCTTTACGCAGGCGATGATGTGGTGGATGTGGATGACTTCTAGCTGTTATTGTCATCTATCGCAAGTTACAAATCCATTTTCACTTCCTCGTGTGCTGTGGCAATGGTTGGCTTGCAACATCAAACATATCTCTTTGGCTGCTTTGAGAGCGTGTGTGATGGTTTGATGGCATCGTTTTAGTTGCTTTGATGGTTGGTATTGTTCGGTGTTGTCCGTCCATGGTGAGTGACTGAGTGTGTGTGTGCGTGTGTCATTGTTGTGTGTTTGTTGCTGCTGTCGTTCCTTGGCTTGGTGGAGTCTTCCTGTCTTTCGGCGCATTGCTTAAAGCATCATCCATGCATTTTGTATTTGTCATGGCCGATGGAGATACAATGTTTGAACACACATGCATAACAACTAAGCTTTCGTTGACAAATGAGCTTTGTCACTGCTTCTCATTGTAAAGTGAGTGTTTGTGCCAATGTTTAAATACAAACACATTAACATCTGTGTGTGTGTGCATGTGTGTGTTCGGATCTGTGTATGTGTTTAAAAGATAAATTTAAAGCACTATTCTGTTGCTGAAAGGCTTTCGTATAAATCCTTTGCCTATATGAAGGATCGAGGTGTTATTGTCATGATTCCTTTAAGACCATGGCTTACACTTTGGAACAAATATATGAGCCATTTGTGATCATTGTATCATTAAAATTCACAGAAGCTAGAACCCATCAAAAATTTGGGAGCTATATAAGACAAATAGCGAATTCCTTAAAAATGACCATGGAAAACCTCTAATGCTCCTTGATGCAATTGTCGACTTTTTGCGCCAGAAAAAACAACATATTTCGGGTGATATGTCCTTGGAAAAATAATGGATCTGCACATTCCTTGTAAGTAGTTGAGACATCCAAAAATTGGGAAAGAGGCCCCAGTGTTTGCCATAAATGTTGAAATAATTGTGCAGCCAATATTAGATTTGCTAGAGAGATTTTTAATTTTTATTTTAATTTTTTAATATTTTTTTTATTTTTAATATTTTTTTCTTATATTAAAAATGTTAGAATATTTGATGTACATTTTTTAAAGTCAATAAATGCTGCAGTATTATTATTATGTTTATAGATTAGGAATAAATTGAAAGGTTCGATATACATAAGTTTAAATAGGAATCGCTAAAAACACATGGGTATATCTCTCAAAGACTAGTGAAAACAACTACTTTGTGTTCAAACATGTAACCACTCAATTGAGTTGCATAAGGAATTTTAACAATCCTGGTCAAAGATCGTTCCAACCTACCCCTTTGAGATGGTGTTCACTGTTCAAAAAAGCATATGTACCAAACTAATTGGCCCCATTGCATTGAAATACATCTGTCATATGGCCATTGCCGTTACTTCCCCTCCCTCAATGCAGTTGGAGAGCATTTTCAGTATTTCGCCCAATTCCTACTGAAATGGTTCATATGTTTTGTTCATGACATTACACTGTCACCCAGCCATTTGTCAAGACTACCCCAACGCATGAAAAACTACAAGGAAATACAACAACAACTACAACAAAAAACTACGGACCCACTATGCAAGTTTGAAACAACTCTCATTCATAAATGAAGCAAAAAAAATACAACAACACATCCTCAAGGCAACTTTCGTACACACACAATAAAAGCTTATTTATAAGCAACGGCATGTTGTGTGCATGTGTGTGTGTGTGTGCGTTTTTGCTCTTTGTGAGACAACAGAATTCAATAATAGCAACATGGCATGTACCAACACACATACAACCGCACACACATGTGTGTGTAATGATGTTGTTTCAAACATTTTTATGTGTTTGCGACCAGTCAAATCGGATGGTAATAATGTTAAGAAGGATGTTTACAAACGAAGGACAAACACACACACACACGCACGCATTGCATGTTAGAGACAAAACATAACGAAGCATACCCACACACACACTTACACACAAACATGTTTTAAGAACTGTAGCCAAGATTACGAGTGCGAGTGTGTCTGTGTGTGTATGCAAAATGTGCGTAAATAAGTCCTTAATACTCATTCGTCATTCCGGTATCGCGTACAACATATCGCTTAAATGGATTAGGAGGAATCACTCCGACTGGATGTCTTGTAATTTGGTTTAATCATCAGCGACGAGACCTATTGCCAACGCTGGCTGCGTTCGTTTGCTTGTTCGCTATGGTTGACGCATTGCCTTGCCAAACTGCCACTGTCGCACTGCCGCTGTTGCCTTTTGGGCTCTGCCTGCCTCATTGACGACGTTGTCATCGTTGTTTAGTCATGTTGTCTGTTTGCTGTCGCTGGCCGGTGTATGTTTGTGTGGTGTGTGTGTGTGCGTCAGTGTATGGGTAATTGTTGTATTTGTTGGTCGCATTCGCCCCAAGCAAACGCCAATAATAATGGTATGAAAACACACACAAAAGGAAAACACACAAAAACAGAAAACGAAACTGAAACAGAAAAAATTACACCAACAACGCCAACATTGCAGGGAAGCAAGCAGGCCGGCGGACAGCAGGCTGGCTGGCAGGCAGGCAGACGACAAGCAAAAGCACAATCAAACACTTTTAAGTCAACAACAGAAATCAAAAAGATTTCTTCGTTTCGTGAGCACAGATGCAACGTGCTACTCGCAGCAACTGGTCGCACGTTCGTTTTCTCCCTTATGCGCTGCCGTTGAGATTTTGTGATTTTGCGAAGAAGCAAGCGAACGAACGAGCGAGCGAGCGAGCGGAAAACGGACAAACATCTAAACCCAACCAAAACAGCAACACGAAAAATCGGAAAATCATCATTGTTTCGTTTTGCTCGGCCAGATCGTGATTTCGTTTGCGGCATTCATACAAACATCGGTCGGTTGGTCGTTTGGTCAGTCAGTCAGTCACTCTGTCGGTTGTGTCGTCAACTGTTGTCGGTCGTAACGCAGGAAATTATCGTCTTACCAAAAAAAAAGAGAAAAAATCAAGTGAAACAAAGGACAATCGTTGGGATATTTTCCAAACATCCCAACAATCGCACAGCAGGCTCCGTGGCCAAACATCCATCAGCAGCAGCAGAAACAATTCAAGAGTCGTGTGTGAATTTGGGCTCAACAAAGCCAAACGGAACAAAACAAAACAAAAAATTAATAAAATAATTACAATTTGTGTTTACAACAGACCGCGAGAGACGGGCCGGGCCTTACGCACAGAGACAAAAGACAGCTCGTAACTCAGCTGCCCGTTCTTCTGCCTCTGGTTCTGCAACATCAGAGCTACGACAGTCAAATTTATGCAAATGCCTTTGCAGGTGTGTGAGTAAATGTCTGACTGCCTCAGTGAGATATTCAGTGAGTGAGCGAACGAGCAAGCGACTGAGTGAGTGAGTGAGCAAGTAGTGAGTGTGGCAAGTGGAAAACAAAACAACAACAATAACAACGAGGAGGAGATACGACGATTCACACGTGCTTCAATTCGGTGTAACGGTAACGTGAGTAGCAAAACAAAAACAAAACCATTTGTTGTTGTTGTTCTTTTTCTCTTGTGTTGTTGTGTGTGTTCACCACCTGAGGACGGCATTGCGTTACTCAATTGCCGGTGGATTACATGGACTACAAGGTGTAATGGTAATTAACACAGCGACCCTGCGCCCCCTCTCCGCCGCCATTATCGATCACCCCACCAGCAGTTTGTCATCGCCAAAAGGAGGAGGAGGTGGCCGGCCACCCGACCAATAAGTGTTTTGACTGAATGACTGAAAGTCTATAAAAAGACAACAGACAACGCATCCGAAAAGAACGTGCGTCCAAGAAAATTTCTATAAAAATTAAGTGTCAGTGGCTGTTTCAAAGAAAAAAAAAAGAAAAATACATCACAAAATAATAATAACAAAACAATAACACTTAAATAAAGCAGACATACAACGGCTACAAGACATAAAAACTTACCTTCAAAATTTTTACAATCGTGTGTCATTCATTACGCGTCAAATATTGAGATTTGATTTGTATTTTCCATTTGTCTGCCAACTAGACCGAACAATGTTGCAAGCTTTTCGAAGTGAATTGATGGGCCATTAAAAAAAACTGGACGAAGGTTAAAGTGAATGTGAAACGAGGATATTCCAATTGTCGGATGGAATTTGATTTCCAAATATTGAAAAGACGAGAGAGTTTGGGTGACAAAAGTTGGTTGTTTCCTTTGCAAGATTAGATTTTTGGTAATATTTAAAATAATAATAAAATATAATATTTTGAAAACTCAAACTTCTGTGTGTTACCGAAAAGTCATCATCTAAAATTCAAAGTAAAAACTTTGTAGAAATATGCTGTTTTAAATTTGAGAAATTCTACAACCGCATCCCTTAAAATAAATAGCTCTAAAATCAATATTTTCAATTGTTAGAAAAAGGGTTTAGTGGATGGCGGTCCATGCTCAGAAATAAGGAACGAGAGTGGCCATGCTCGAGAGTGGCAATTTGTACATTTGTTATTTACGGCATTTTATGGTGAGGGGAGTGAGTGAAATGGAGACCTCGTATACCTCAACAACCTCTAGTACCTAAAAACTGAATGGTCTTCGCACATGTTCCAAGGACTTAAGAACAAGTCCAAAACTCACTATTGTTTCTTCGTAACTTTTTAATTGAAAAACTAATCCCATACGGACTTTAATTTAAGAACCAAAAATATTTTCCATCAGACTATTCAAAAACCATAAATGCTTACAAATAAATTATTCGTGGTGTCAGACTCAAACTCGGGATACAAAAATATGGTTTGAAACTGTCTGGCATGCCATTACAAAACAAGGGGTCTATAAAGGGAAGAGAGGACACCTCAAACATCTCCAGAATAAAAAACGTTATGGTGTCATTAGGGAATAAAAGACTTCAGAGTCTTCTGAAGACCTCATTGTGTTCTGTATACGAAAGCTCTTTCAGAGAAACACTTCACGAAAATCGATCTTGTGGCTTTTTTAAGAAGAAGGTGAAAACCTTATGATTATCCAGATTTTGTGATCTACTAAGGACGAAGACTTGATGGTGTTCTGGAAAGAAAAAAAAAACTCGAGAAAAATGTTAACTGTCTGATCTTTTAAAATAAGTCCTTTAATCCTCGTGGACTCCTATAAGTAAAAACATGCTTGTTTCTTCACAAGAAAAAGGCCAATCCAATTAATGAACCTTGTGATATCATCGATAGGAGCTACTGTTAGTTTTAACGGTATTCCATCTTGTCTGTAAGAAGACCGGCTAATATTTATTAAAAAAAAAACAAAGAAAGTCTAAACGTCGGGCGGGCGGACTTTATTCTTCAATAGCAAAGCACCACAAAAAATTCAGTCTTGGGGGCTGTTTGAACTTCTTCCCTTGGAGAAGATTTTCTTCTCAGAAAGGACCCAAGAATATACCCATCCGATCATCCCCCACAAAAGGTAATCTAGCCTTCCTTTAAAGTATTTGCTTTTCAATAGAAGAAGACATCTGATTATGTTTGTTTTACAAGAACTCCAGTCTTTCCATAGAACGAGAAGCCCTATTTTTGGAGAAGTTAACTGAATGATCTATTACCTTGTTGCTTAAGATGCTAAAAGAGCAGCAAGTCTGGAAGATATATAGTATTTTTACAGGTCTTGGCATACAGCCTCTGTAACATTTAGATCACACTTTTGAGTTTTTTGTGGCCAGCCGATTTAGATATAATTTTATTTTTCGCACCGTAGCTGGTATAAAAAGCTTCTTTCGGACATAAATTGCACCAGTCTAATTGGTTAACATATGTTCTGTTCCAGATCATGGAAGAATCCACAAAATTTGAAATTTTTTCGATATCATAAAGGAAAAATCGGTTATCGTAGTAAAAATTTCTACCTTCTTGCACTTCTGGAACAGACCAATACGTATAATACAATCGTTTTTATGAATGATTTCCCATGTTTCAGAAAGGAAAAAATCTCTCAGATATAATTTTCATAGAAACCCCTCTAAAATTATAATGTATATTTTCAGACCCGCAATAGAGACCACTTCCTTTATTTTATATGGAATTGTAGGAATTCCCATGAAGAACACACTTATAAGTTTAAACGATTCTCGTTTCCCTTTTTTCTTTGCATTTCAAACATTTAAGTTGTATCCAACTAAACAAAAAAATGTCTCTTCAGAAAATCAATTTATTTCAGGAAATTGCAACCAGAAAAAAAGCAAGACGAAGACGAACAAATGAAGCGACCAACCAACGAAAGAAAGAAATGTATAGACCAGCTGACGACCTTACATGTCCAACACATTGTCAAAAATGTAACACAAGACGACTTAGCAGCCAACAGCCATAGTTCAGCCAAAACACAATACGAGTAGTACATCTCTCTGACAGACGGACAGACAAACAAACAAAAAAACATCAAAATCAAATATAAACCGTAGAACAACAAAACAATAACAACAACAACGACAATATCGTCATTTGACAAATTTCTCACTGACGTCCACCATTCAAAAGAAACAAATGTTCTTTTAATTTCTCCTTCCCTCCATCTGCACCTCTGCCGTTGCCATCCCTGCTCGTCTCCTGTATCGGATGACATCAATTTTATTCCTGTCACTTTTAAGTGTTTGCATTGTCACTTAACATACCTGAGCGCCCTTCTCAGGCTGGCGAAAAAAAAAGAAAAGAAAAAAAACAAGAATTCAAAAATTCTCTGAAAATAAATAGGCAAATGTGAAGCTCCCCCCCCTTTTCTCTCTATCTCCCTCTCTGCTTGGAAACGGCAACATTTACTCATTATCTCTGGCGAATTTGCTTAGCCATGTCGTCGACGAACAACAGACAGTATTTCGGGGAGAGGAGCGTGCAAATTTACATTTCCGTGCAAACTGCTTAGCTGGCGGCAATTGAGGTTAATTAGTGCGTTTTTTTCTCTCTGCTCTTTGTTTGATGCCACAGGTGGGGATGATGTTGATGCCTTATTTGAATGACTTTGTGGCAGCCTGTTTATTTTCTTCCTATTTTCATTTGATTTGCATGCACCCGAAACTCTGTTGTGTTGTGTCTGTGTTTGGCCGTTTTTTCTATGATTTTATATTTTTGTAAAATTTAATTGTTGATATGGAGATATGCATTGGGTTTCATTTGTTCTAGTCATTTCATCTGTAAATGGCACCTTAGAGGATATTCAAAGGACCTCTTAAACTTAAAGTTCCGAAATGACAGCAGTGGCTAATTGCAAACTCAAAAAAATAGGAAACCCAAAGAATCAGTTAGCAAATCTCTTCAGCTGTCTAAGTACAGCTATTACAAAACAGGATTAATGTATTGACACTACCACTTCTTCTGTTTTAAATCAACTCTTTCTCAACAAAACGCTGCTCGCATTTTAGGGAAACCATATCCCCTGCCATCCCCTCTCTCTCTCTCCACATTAGTAACCATAACATTTCCATTTCCTAATTGATTTTTTTTTCCATTTGGCAACAAAAGTTCGATGTAATAATACTCGTACGATTTGCATTTCCAGTTTTAAAACTTTTCAAAATATGGCCCGGCTAACCTTTAATGCACCGCTTATTAATGGAGGGAGGCGATAATAAAATTCTGCAATTCTTGGCTTTTTTGCTTCTCCCTCTCTGCGCACCGGAAATGCTGGAAAACAATTTAGCCATAGACAAAAGAGTAATCTCATCCTTTTAATGGTCAAATATAGAACCGCATTTAAGCGTGTTCAACATTCATTGCTGCTGAAATGTTAACGGAAATTGGTAATTCCTTTGGAGGAAAAAAAGTTACAGCTACAACTTTTTGCTCACATTGTTTTATGGCAAAATGCATGGCAGCATTTTTTTCATTTTTTTTTTTTTTTTTGAGTCAAATAATAAAAAGGAAAACTTTTTAATGTTATTGTCTAGCTGGGTACGTATACGTACGAGTGCGAAAGTGTGTGTGTGTGTGTGCATGTATATGTAATGTACATGTGTATGATGCGATATAATTTCGTCTCCCAAAAAAACAGAGGATCCCATTATAAATGAAAGAATAAAGACAAAAAAGAATAATAATACCGTTACATCCGCTTTTAGCTTTTAACCATCCTTCCGCCTTGTTACACACATATATATGTAAACACGTGAGTGTGCGTGTGTGTGAATGCGTAGATGAATATTGGGGTAAAGTGAAAATACATTGTCTGGATAAGTAGTCATTTTAAGGCAGAAGAAAGGCATGGAGGCTCTTTGAAGGATGAGAGATGACAGAAATATTAGGGAGCTTAATTATAGCCTCAGCTATATGGCTACTGAGGGGGTATATCTTTTGGTATGGTCGAAATAAGGGTAACCTAGGTATATTTGAAATTTGAAGGAAATCGGATGCTTACTACGCAATTAAAAGCATTTTGGTTATTCAAAATTTTTACCAGTTATGGTGGAGGTACCAGAAAGAGTGGACCAAGATATTTCTTTGTGCACGCCATGTTTTGTGTTAGCAAAAATTTTGAGATGTGCCAAGTTTGAAACTATTCGGATGCTCATTTCGCGTTTTATGAGCTTCATAGTTATTCAAAATTTTTACCCATTGTTGGGGAGGTACCAGAATGAGTGGTCTGATATTTTTCATCTCCACACCATATTATGCGTTGATAGAAATATTGTGATGTGTAAGGTTTGAAGAGAATCGGATATATAATTGTTAATTATTCAAAATGTTGACCCTCTATGGGGAGGTATCAGAAGGAGTGGACTGATATATTACATCTTCACACCAGATCTTGTGTTAAAAGCAAATATTGGGATGTGCGAAAATTGAGGAGAATCTGATGCTTATTTCGCATTTTATAAGAGTTATAATTATTCCAAAAGTTGAACCTTTGTGTGGGAGGAGCGGACCGATATTTTCCACGTGACCTAGTACTGATACATATATTTGGATTAGCAAAGTTTTCACAAAATGGGATTATCATTTCTTGTTCTAAAAGAAAAATAATTTTCTGTAAAATTTCAAATTTGGTCGGGGAGGTACAAGAAGGTCAATCGGTCCACAATATTGTCCATATCCGAACTTGGTCTAAGTTTGATAATAATATTACGATATACCATGTTTGGATCAAATCGGACACTCCTTTAAGAGATATTGTGCGCACTGGAGAAACAGACAGACGGATGGTAGGACGGATCGACTCCAAATTTCCTGGAACGGCTTTGGTCCAAAGAGACCTATGGTATAAAACCCATATTTCGATTAGGCACATCTGGGCCGCATCAAATGATATATACCCTCTGTAACCATGTGTCTGAGGGTATATAAATAAAAAATATCAAGATCTGTCACAGAGTCCCCCTTTTATGTTCTCCGAATTATGTTACTCTCTGATTACACAGTTTCTCAACGGCTAAGATTATGAGCCTAAAGGGGAATTTCACTCATTAAAGGCACGAGTACCTGCTCTTGCCTTGGCCTGGTTTAGATTATCCCAAACTTCTCTCCATCCTAATAACTTTTGGCAGTTGTTAACAAACACTTCACTCCCTTCCTTCCGGCATGCGTACGTCCGTATGTGTGCATTTTGGGTATTCCTTGGAGATTTTTTATGACGTGCATGGACTTGGACTCTGTAATTGATAATGGAAATTACCGCTGTTGTTTAATGTGTCGCTGTAGCTACTTTGTTTGGGTATTTTTTTGTCAGTCTCGACGTTGAATGGTTTTACCATTTTCCGCATTTGTTTCATTATTGTTTCAATGGAAAAAGTTTTCAACTTTGATCTCCAAAAATGTACTGTTTTTTTTGTCTGTTAGGAGAAATATCCCATTTACTGTTAACTTTTATGACCCAGCCGTTAGCATCAATTTTCTATGCCATTTAAATTCAAAATGGATTCTTGGAGGATGTGAATTTTGTTGGGCTAATGGAAAACAAGACATGGCAATATTTTTGGAAACGAAAACAGTTTTTCAATAAATTAATTTCAAAAATCTTAAACATAGGAGAAATAACTTAAAAAAGGGGGGGGGGAGGGTGGTACATCTGCAGCATTTTCAAAACTACATCCGACCACGCGTTTTTTTGCCAAAACTACTTCAAGGCATATTTGTCAGCTATTGATGGAAACTGATAGTGTTTTCAACGCATTCATGCCAAGACCATGTTCCTCTGCAGCAAAAAGAAAAAGTTTCCCTCCTCCCCGTGTTGGTTGGTTGGCTGGCTGGCTTGAAGGACGATGCCAACATCGGCAACTTTGCAATACTTCCCATCGTATTTGCTGTAGCTGTGGCAGTTCCGTTCTTTATTTGACATTAATTGTGTTTGGTTCTATCTGATTTTCGCTCTCACATCTTTGCGCCCTGCTGCCACTCCAACCTCTTTCCATCGCTAAGTTCAACTTTTATTGGAGAAAAACTTTTTATTTTTTATATGAGTTCGGAAATTGTTTGCAATGGCAAAGTGATTGATATTTACATTGATGCGCTCAAACATTGAGCTCAAATTTATTTTGATGGCGTTCGAAAAAAAACTGATGTCTGTCTAAACTCAGAAAGCCAATGAACATTTTCTCAAATGGAGTCAATTATATTATGCCGGTGGAGGGCATACCTTCGGGGGGGTGGTAGATTCATAACCAACCAAATGGACCAGCTGGGTAAAGTGTTAGACCGTGATTTTGTTTCCTGGCATTCCTGTTTCATCGAAAAACACAGAGAAGCGAACCAAATGGCCAACAATCAGATTAACGTATTTTTAATATCCTATCCTCCCCAGAGGGGTGGCCTCGCATTGATAGATAGTTGGCCATTTCCCTAATTTACAATTTAAATGAAGCCATCTTTTGTTGTAGCCAACCCAGGAATCTCATCTTTGTCATGGTGCTGCCCAGCTGACAGATTAAACGATTGCCCCAAAGTTTGTAACCCCTTGACATGCAGTCGGTAACAAATTTGTTCGAGAAATGGATTAATTTATTTTCGCCTAATCGAAAGCAACGAAAAATGGCTTTAAATAAATTTTCTTAGAATAACGTTTTTTTTTTTGCTGTTGTTGTTGTTGTTGCTGCTGCTATTGTATTCCCTTTTGGCAAAAGATTTAATGAACACCGAACTGTCACACGCAGACCAACACACACACACCATCCCGTGCACATGAGCCCTCAACATGCAAAGCAGCAACTAAAATTAACAGTTTCCTAAAACTCATTCAGTACAAAGGGAGCAACAACAACAACCACAACAACAATAGCAAAAAACCGAACAAAAATCCAACAAAAAATAGTAACAAAATTAATTGCCTAAAACAGAAGCAATTAATTGAAATGAAGAACTCCTCCTTCTCAAGCGGCAACTTGTTTGGACGCTTTTGTTTCTAAGGCATTCAATTGGCGTTCGAACGAGTGGATGGTGGATGCGAACGGACAGACCGACAATCATGGGGATAAACTGTCGAACAAGAAGACTTAACAAATGAAATACGAGAAACTCTATCGAAGTGTTGCACTGATGTATTGTCGTCCGTGAATGGCACTTGCCGGCAATTTGCAATTTGAAGAGGGGCCAAGCAACACCCTTGCGGCTCAGGTCCACAGCAGAAGGCGAACGAAACCGAAACCCTTTAACATGTTGCGGGGTTATAGTTGCATGAAAATGTCTACCTTCTTCTAATGCCGAGCGTGTCAGGAATGTCACTAAATGGTGGCGGACTTTAGTTGAGGTGTTTTTTTTTTTGCAAATACCCAGTCGGGGATTTACAGTGGCAGAGCAGGATAGGCAGTTGAACGTAAGCTGTAAATAATTTGGGCAAATTGGCGAAGTTAAGTGACCATAATCTGAATCACTGATATCAAAAATACTTTGTTTTAAAAAAAATCCTGTTCTCTGTAGAAATAATGTAACTTTAGCAAATATTGTAGTTTTCGATACCCATTCTCACACAGAATTAAAATTATAGCAAAGAAATTTTCAGCGTACCGAATATTGGACACCTCTGTACATAAACCCTATTGAATGGCGATTAGATCGTTTCAAATTAAACATTCCCCTTTTCTACTTCTAATTCAGTCATCGAATTGTTACTCTTTATTCTTCCTTCCTTTCCCACACCCCTCTCTCCCTGACACACTCTGTACTCGAACGATAAAAAGGCTGCTAAAAAAAAAATTGGAATAAAACGAAGCACAAAAGACCAAAAACCACACAACATCCAGCAATTAGTTAATCCAACAAAATTCTTGGAAATCTCTGCCCACATTCACACAACCGACAAACCGTAACGGTCAAAAAAAAACAAAATCTGACACTACCAACCAAACCCAGCCGATGGAAACATTGAACTAATCGAAGCTAAATTGATGGTTTCATCGACCCAAAAAAAGCTCTCAAAAGAAAAAAGAAGCGGCAGCATAGGACACTTGGTGGGGCGGGCGGTTCGAAGTTCGCTTGTTGGGTCCTTCCTCTCAATTTGCGAAGCCGGTGCGAGAATAAAGTTCAAACAAACCGTTTGATCGGTCCCCCAAAAAGGCAAACATTGCCATGGCAACAAATCATCAGCATCGGTTGGATTGAAACGTAACTCCGCTCAACGTGCAACCGATTTCTAAAGAAGTTGTCAAAATTTGAGTGACAAGTTCAAATTGATTTGACAATTGACAGGATTCGAAAGAAATTTGCGATGATTATGTTCCAAATGCGGGGGGGGGGGGAACAATGACGACGAGGAAACATGATGATGTTTGGTGGAAAGCCGACCATGGACATTAATCAAGGGAGAGACTTTTACGAATTAAATGCTCACATACCTACATAACTTAAAAATATTTTGAAAACATCAACTTTAAAATCATTTATTTTTCTTCTTCTTTTACCAACAGAGATCTAAATCGAATAGCCGAGAAAAGTCCTGCTGATTCAGATTTTATTGACTGCGACAATGTCGAGGCATTCAATGAGCACCAAGGAAGCAGAATTGTTAACCACAGCCAGCAGGACCCATTTGAAAAGAGTTTCAACAAAAGCCACAGCTCCCCCCACCTTCAGCAGCAGGAGCAGTAGTTACTTTGACCATAATCGCAGCCGGAGCAGTTATCGAGGCTTCAGCATTAGCAGCAGTATTTGTTGTTTTTGGCCATCTTGCCTTTGCTGGCACTTCTTGGTATCCTTCTATTGCTGCCTTTTTGTTTGCATTGTGCAACATTGCGGCACTGAGGCGGAAATCGCTCCGGTTGGTGCTATTTCCGGTGGTGGCGCTGGTGCAGCCGGTGTGAGTGCCATTGGCATGGGCGTTATGGGTACCCTGACGGCTGTGGGTGAAGCTGTTATAAATGACGACACTGCAGCAGCTACTAATGACGATGACGACGATGGAGGAGGCGAAGGTGGAGGAGGAGAAGGAGAAGGTGGTGGCACAATTGGCGCTGGTTCGATACTCTCCAATAATTTCGACAGTCAAGATTGTACTTCACGTAAATTCCAGAGCATGGCTAAGAATATTGATGACATCGAAGATTTGGAATTGGGCGTGCCGGTGAATATTGCATTTGACAAACGCCAAAGGAAAAGGTGAGTACAGCCATTGAAACACTGAAGCACAATCCAAGCGACAGATAGAGAGGCAGAGAGGCAGACGTAAAGAAAATGACCAAAAATATTAGCACCTTGCGGAAAAGGTAATCTCAAAATCAATAAAACACCCTCTTTGGTTTGGGCAATGGTTAATGGACGTTTGGGGAGATTCAGGTTTACACCGGAAGAAAATGAGCTTCGAAAAATATCTTAAATTATTCAAAAATGGATAACATTTTTTCGGAGTAACATTGCTTGTTTCTTCTATTGGAGATCAATTTTTGGTTTGGTTGTTAGAATAAACACAATGTCCTATTTTTAGGGCCGGAATGTCAAAAAAAAAAAAAAAAAACTAACAAAAAACTAACATCCAAACCCAGGCGATGGTGACATTAAACTAATGATAATGATTTGATGGCTTCATCGACCAAAAACAAACTCTAAAAAGAAAAAAGAAGCAGCATAGGACACTAGGTGGGTTAAGTGGTTCGCTTGTGGAGTCCTTCCCCTCAATTTCCAAAGCCGTTGAGAATAAAGTTCAAGCAAACCGTATGGCCCGTCCCTCAAAAAACAAACAATACCATGGCAACAAATCATCAGCATTCGTTCAAAACAAGTAAAAAAGCAGCTAATTTCGGCCGGGTCGAACTTTTTATAGCCTCCAACACTTGGAAGGAACTAGAAAAATTTAAACAAATTTCGTAAAATGCCGTTTAAATGATGACCTCTATGCGGGGGCTATTCAAAGACGTGGACCTGTAAAGGTAATTTTTTGCCATAGGCTGTAGTACGCATTAAGATCTTCAAATACGAAATTTGAAACAATTCCAGCGAATAATGTCGTTAAAATCATTAAAATACCGAATAAAGGGAGGTACCGTTATATGGGGGCCATACGAAAACGTGGGCTCACATACTTTATTTACGAATTTAACCTGCCTACTGGTAAAATATACATGAATGTCAAATTTTAGTCTTCTATCTCAATTCGATTCGAAAGATGTACAATAGACAGATAGACGGGCAGACAGACATCCCCAAATCGTCTTAGAATTTTACGCTGCTCCTGAATATATATACTTTGTAGGGTCTATCATGAATATTTCGAAAAGCTACAAACGGAATGGTGGAGGGTATAAAAATATAGATAAATTTAGCCTTATTCTCCTATTTTGGGTGTGGGGAGGGTATGCAGACAACTATATAAGAGAACTCCAGCTTTTAAAAACTGACCATTTATTAGAATCTCTTTAATTATTTTTGTATCTCACAGACACAACCACATTAGCCATAGAGTTTGTCGACCGACGAGGCTGTCTTCATTTTCCTCACTTCTCTCACCAAAAACAAAACTAACAATTGAGTCAATTTTTATTGCCTACTGCATATCAGGAGTTACTTAGTACCTACTTCTCAGCTTTCTTCCAAAATATCTCCACTTCATCCCCCGCCGCCACTACCTTCTACATCCCCTAAAAAAAGGGGAAACAAATATTACAGCATTGTTTATAAACTGAATTAAAATAAGTAAATTTAATGCTCTAATAAACAAATCAATTAGCAAAGTCACAGAGACACGACGCATTACAAAATGTTGTAATCTATTTTTACAAGCAACAAGAAAAGTGGAAACGCATTTTCTAATTCAAAAAACAAAAAAATAAAACGCATTTTCTAAACGAAAAAAAAAACGAACACAAAAAAGAACACGATTACTGACTGGCTGCTTGACTGACTGACGCGTTCCTTAAAGCGTCTGAGAGATCAATGCAGTCAATGGACGTTTTCTAAGTTAAAAAAAAAAACAAAAACCAACGTCAACAGATAAAAACGACATAGACTAGGGACAGGGAGTAGAATTGGCCTATGGAAAGGCCTTCAGCGTTATATCGTGACTAAGTTGAACACACATCAGGGAGATCTCTTCTGATGCTTTAATCTGAATATCGCAAACCTGATTACGGCTAAGATAGAGCAGTTGTTAAAAAAATCGTGAAGAAATTTTTTAAGCCATTTGTTTTTTCTCTCTAATATTTGTATACATATTTCACACACACACACAAACATCCCTTAAAGGCCATCAATTTTTGTGGCCTTGACTTTCCGCTCCTGCCACTGGCGTGTTAGTATTCAATGAATTTTGTTATATTCTTGTCTAAGTGTATATTTTTGTTCTTTGTATTCTCTGCTCATTTTCTTCGTTTTATTTGCGATTGTTAAGAAGTCCACAAAAAAGCTGAACACAAAAAACAAGACGCGTCGCAGTATTTTTACTTGGCTATAAAAATTACTTGTGATAAAAATGAATTGAGAGCATACACACACTTACATTCATTGACGGTGGGCACAGTGGACTCCCCGAAGAGGGGGGGGGGGACAACAAATTCGATTTTTTAAATCCTCCTTCTTCGGAGTTATTTTTCTCTCAAAAAAGAGAAGACAAAACAGAACAGTTCCATTTTCATTTATAAAATAGAGTAGAGAACACATTATTTCTCAGAGAACCCGCTATATTTTATGGGCCACCCATATCGTGTCATGTTGATGTTGTTCAGCCTATGAATCCACATTTGTGAGCATCTACTGTACACTACAAATGCGCACCGTCTCATATATGTCTTGTTTGGACCACATACCCATACACTCACAGCTATGGCCAAAAAAGCTGTGCACCCAAAATTTGACGCCCGTATGTCTAGTGAAGGCTAAATTTATTTAAAATGAACCCAGAAACAATATAGAGTCACAGTTAATGTGTGTGTGTGTCTATGTGTGTGACCAACGAAATGACCGCTCATTATTTAAGTGGTCGTTTAAATCGGTGTGACATTCGTTGTTTTTTTGGCAAGAGAAAATAATAAAACATTAAACCGGTCAACAATTGTAGCTTACAGTCTGAAGATAACTCGAAAATCAAACCCCTTAGGGGGTCTTTCACTGGCACTGAATATTAAAAACATGTCGAGAAACTGTACGTCATTTCTTTTGCGGGTTACTACAAAAAAGCATATCCTTTTTATACCCTACACCACATAGTGATAAGGGTATTATGTCTTTGTGTATTTGTTTGTAACACGGAGGAGGAAGCGAGATGGAAACATACTTACTTTTGAGGATCTTCATAGAATCACTTTCTGAGTCGATTTATGCATGTCGGTCCGTCTGTCTGTCCATCCGCTAGTCCATGTATTTTTGTTCAAAAAAAAGGAGGTCGCATTTATTATCCGATTGAGATCAAATTTTCCAAACAATATATGCTTGGCCCAACCACGAACCCAACTGAAATTGGTGAGAATCGGTACAAATTTCGATATAGCTCGATATAGTCAGTTCAAATGACCTGAATTTTGACACATCCGACCGAATTCAGTGTAGAAGCAAGTACTTCAAATTCGGTGAAAATCAGTTCAGATATAGTTATAGCGCCCATACATAAGTTTCATCCGATTTGTGATTTTAAGTCCCTCACATGCGTAATATGGACTTCACAAGAATAATATTTGGTACCCAGAAATACCTCTGTCAATTTTAATCGAGATCGGATCAGATTTGGATTATCTCCCATATACAGCGTGAGATAAAAAAAGCTGCACCAAAGTCAAACGCCATAATTTTTACATATATTTTTTTTAATTTATTGAATGAAAGCAAAAAATGTCGGAAATAGCATCACATTTTAGAATAAGTTTAGATTTGTTCGAATTCGTAACGTTTGGCACGAATTATGGCCTTCAAACGACCAATGAATGTTGCTCTGCGGTATTTTGGCCCAAAATGTTTGCGTGCCCAAGGCTTTAGTTCTCCCTCCCTTTTGTAGGCTTGTAAACAATAAAATGAGCTGTCACTACAATATTTTTAACAGTTGTCGGACGAGTGGCTTAAAAATGACAGGAGTATGAATTTGGTTGCAGTTTTTTCATATCATCCTGTATGTTTCATCCGATTTGGTTTTTAAGTCTCTCACATGCGTAATATTCACTCCACAACAATGATCTTTGGTACCAGATGTCAGATACAGCTCAGAAATAAGTGCCTAAAATGTTGTCAAAATCGGTTCACAAGTACATCAAGAAGGTAACCTCATTCAAAATAGTACAGCTCTGTAATTTACCTCCACAAATTTAAATAAATAAAAATAAGGTACCCATCTCTAATTTGTGTTTATGAAATGGCCTCATTTAATTATGTAATTATTGTAAACGTATCATAACACGAGGTTAACTTCTTTATTCTACCAATGCTTTTGTAAAGAAAATATTTTCGATTTCAAAATTTCAATGGATTATAAAAACTTATAACTCCAGATAATTGAGGAAATGGACAGATTTGTCCTCGAAACATCATGCTGAAAATTGCATGTCCTTCAAACGATTTTTTCAATGACAATGTTTTTTTTATCCTCCTTAAGCCATTAGTCAATGATGCCCAACGAAATAATATAAAAAAAAACAATAAAACAAGCAGACATTACAACAACCACCCAATAACTTTCGGCAAGGTTCTCCTACTATGTAACATCCTTTCTGCGAACAACGTTTTGGTGTAGGACATTTTTAAATGTTTTCCCCCACCCCCGCCCAGAAAAAAATTGTATTTTTAATGCAGCGACTTTACGTGATCACATTTAAAACATATGTGTTCCCAGAGTCTAGCTGAAGTATCATAATTTTTTATTGCCCTTGTTGTCCTTGCCATTTTTTTTTTACATCCCCCTTCCTTTAGTTTTGCTTCCTCAAGAAAACTTTCTTTCTCAAAATGCCGCATAGCCACATTTTGTTACATTTCCATGGAACTTTCTTCGTGCACACAACAATAATATTTGGAGGAGCTGAAAAAAATAAGTCAAACCACCGAAAGCGACGGGCAAAGAAGTTGGCGTCAGGAATTTATGCATTATTTTGATAAATTATAGTCGGATTTTTTGCTCGGCTCCTTCTCGACTTTTAGTATGATTGTTATTGCGGTTTGAACTGCAAGCAAACATAACTTTCTTCTGT